AACCTTAGAATCTAAATCAGTTTGTGTGTTTGTAAATCGTTAACTGTACACACAAAATGAGTAATTATTTTGGAAATTATAGCTCAATAAAGATGACATACAAATGAAAAGTACATGTATTTAAAAATTCTTTGTATACCATTATAAAGCTCACAATTTTTTTTTCTTTTTTTCTTTTTTTTTTTTTTTGAGATGAAATTTCACTCTTGTTACCCAGGCTGGAGTGCAATGGTACGATCTCGGCTCACTGCAACCTCCTGGGTTCAGGCAATTCTCCTGCCTCAGCCTCCTGAGTAGCTGGGATTACAAGCATGTGCCACCATGACCAGCTAATTTTTTTTGTATTTTTGGTAGAGACGGGGTTTAAGCACGTTGACCAGGATGTTCTCAATCTCTTGACCTCGTGATCCACCCGCCTCAGCCTCCCAAAGTGCTGGGATTACAGGCATGAGCCACCGTGCCCGGGCAATTTTTTTTTTTTTTTCTGTTTTGTAAATGGAAGGATCTCACAAGCTAAACTTGGCAACATGCTTATAATGTCTGTGAAGAAAACATCTACTTAAACATCAAGTTATTTATAAAGGCAGATCCTAAGTAGAATCCTAAGTGAAAACTAAGGGTAAAGGTTTTCCATAGCTTTTTTCTCATTAACTCCTTTAGTTCAGAGATAATGGTTAGATGTTTTACCCAGCAATTAACACTAAAGAAGTACAATCTGGTGTGACCTCAATCATATTGGGTTCACCACCTGAGATGTCATCCACCACCTGCGGAGGTCTGGCCTGCAGATCCTGACTCAATTATGCATGAATGAATGCACTCTCACACCATTACAGTGATTCAGCTGGGCTAGGGATGGTTGTCAGCTGCTTTCAGAGAATGAACTGCAGTCAATTGACCAAGATTCCCTCTCCATCATTACGTATATTCAGTCAGATTTTACAACACAGGTTCTAAGTTAACACACTTGTGCATAATTAACATGGTTAAAAGAGTGGTTTTATGAATGATAAAAGGTTTAGGTTTTGAGCCCAGAGTAACACTATTAACAGGTAATTCTCTGATTTTCCCCTGAGAGGGTCATCAACACAAAATTTACATAAGTAAACAGAGTAGAGACAAAGGGATATGGTGTAATCAGACTTAAACTGGGAAAGCCTTTTATTCTTTCTCTTTCCTATGCTAATGTAGATGCCTGCCTCTGCCTTCAGTCTGTCCCAGTAAAACCTTTTCACCTTCCGAAAGTTTGAGATTACAATCTATAACTATTCCTAATATTTAATGTTTTGCCAGCTACCCTGAGTGAATCTCAACCATCCTGTGCCTTAGTACATTTGTGCTGCTTTAACAAAGTACCACAGATTGGGTAAAATACAAAAATAGATATGTGTTTTTCACAATTCTGGAGGCTGAGTAGTGCAGGATTAAACCTGTAGTGGGTTTATCATGTGGTGATAGCTGTTCTCTGCTTGGAAAAATGCTGCCTAGTCTTGCATCCTCTGAAGAGAAGAAACACTGTGTTCTCAAACAGTGTAAGTTAGAAGGGTGAAAAAGGCTAAACACTGCATAAATCTTCTTCTATAGGGGTCTTAGCTGCAATCAGTAGTGAGAAACCCTCATGTCCTAATTGCCTCTTTTAGGCCCCACTTCATAACTCCATCACATTGGCCATTGTTTCAATAGGAAGAGTAGTTCGCACAAAGTTCTTATTTATGTAGATCGTAGTTTCTTAACAGAGCAATTATTTTCTTACAAAAATAAGGAGGTGTAAATTCTGTGACTCTAATTATTTCGAGAGATGTGAAAGAAACATTTTCTGAAAAGAAATCTGAAAAGCCTACATAGAAGAAAAGTAAGTCAATATAAAATAATAATTCTACGAGACATAGGAGGGGTTTATAAGTGGTCCTGGAAGTTATGGATTATCTCTTAATTCTGCTTTTTAGGGAAAAAAAAAAGCTTATCTTGATTAATTTCTAATGACTATAATCCATTTCCATGAACTGTTTACTTGCCTACTAATACAGTTTGAAGACTTGTCCTCATCCAAATCTCATGTTGAATAGTAATTCCCAATGGTAGAGGTGAGGCCTGGTTGGAGGTGTTTGGATCATGGGGGTGGATGCCTTGTAGCTTGATGCTGTCCTCGCAATAGTGAGTTTCCATGTAAGATCTGGTTGTTTAAAAGTACGGGACACCATTCCCATCCCCAGGTTGACTCTTGCTCCTGCTTTTACCATGTGATGTGCCTACCCCTCCTGTCCACCCCTTACTTTCTGCCATAATGGTAAGCTTCCCAAGGCCATCACAGAACCCAAGCAGTTGCCAGCCCCAGGCTTCCTGTAAAGATTGTAGAACCACGAACAATTAAGCTCCATTTCTTTGCAAAGTACCCTATTAGAGGCATTTATTTATAGCAAGGTCAAACTTGCTTAATACACATAATTTATTTGTTGTTTAAGGGATATAGGCCTTATATCATGTACTGTCCTAGGGAGAAGAAATGGGCACTCTTAGGCCTTAGACTGGCTTGTACGATTGGGGCAAGACATATAATTCTTATCCTTTTTCAGCAGTAAGGAGAAAGATGTGAAGAACACATCTATGGAAAAGTTTCGAAGATTCTAGAATCACTACCAGCCTGACTGAGGAGGAGTTTCCCTTCTGAAGCAAGTCCATAATGAGTAGAAGAGATGATTGCTTCCTCAAATACAGACACCAAAACAAAGTTATAAGAAACATTAAAAAGTAGGAACATATGAATCTTCTGATGAAACAAAATAAATCTTCAATAATTAATCATAAAGAAATTGATATCAATTAATTTATGGCAGAAAATTCTAAATAATCATCTTATAAACATCAGTAAGTCGCAAATGAACAGCATAAATAGAACTAAATGAATTCAGGAAAACGATACATGAAGGAAACGAGATATCAAAACCCACCCATGCATATATGCACTAAGCAAAGCTGTGTGAAGAGTTTCTGTGGGTTCAGGGGAAGCTGCAGTATGGGGCTGGAACACGCAGACTGGTGCACAGTCATAGGGGCTGCCTCACTGGAGCTCTCGATTGCTAAGCATAACCCTCTGGTGCAGCAGCTGTGGTGTGGGCCACCAGGGCACCCGACACTACCCTGTAAGTAGGCATGCATGGAAAGGCTGGGGCCCCAGGAGAGGGTAGAAGATCAAGGAGTGCTCAAATCAGACCGGCCTTGTCTGATGTGCAGAAACAACATGCAGGAATCAGGTCTGACTGTTACCCAAAGGCTAGGGTTTCTTATTCATGAAATTTGAACTTAGAAAGATGGCCATTTCCGGCCACACTGTGCTACAAATTCTCCTGCACCCACCCCTCTAGGCTCCACATCAGTTGGCTTCCTGCTTTGCTACTTTGTTTGCTCCTGTGGCTTCATTTCTGAGAGATGCAAGTCAGCGGTGGCCAAGTGTCTTTGCTCCTTTGTCTGGCCAAGGGAGGTGAGGAAACTTCCATTGCAGAGGCTGTGGCAGAGAGGCTTTCTGTTGCCCCAGGGGCTCTCTCCAGAGAGGAGCCAAGTTGGTACTAGCTAGATAGCTTGGGCAGGGAATGGCTAGAGACCCAGGCCAGAAAGATCTTCCTGAGGAGTTTATATGGAAATAGGCACCTATATTTCACTGTAATCACTTTTCTGTGGGGCTGCTGTGGTATGCTGAGGCCTACTCCAGTCACTAGTCACCTCAGATTTTCTAGTACCTGGAGGTATCACCAGTGAAGGCTGAGAAACGGCAAGTATGGCAGCCTAGGCTTCTCTCTGGTAGCTCCATCCCAGGGAGGTATGGACCTGTTTCTGGCACAAACACACCTCTAAGAGGTGGCTGGAGACCCCAGTTGGGAGATAAGAACCCTTGTCCGAAGGAATGGTATCAGGTACCTGCTTCAGGTAGTCTAACCACATTTTCTTTAAGCAGCTGTGCTGTGCTGGGGGTACACTTCAGCCTTTGGTTGCCTTGGACACTCCAAAGCTAGGAGGCTGAAATAACTAAGTTGCCCAAGCAGCAAAGATGTCAGCCTGCCCTGTCCCCTCAGATCCCTTTACCAGGAAGGGCCTGGAACCTCTGTCAATTGGGGAACAGCAGTGGTGGTAGCCAGAGATCCCAGTTGGAAGGCTCCACCCAGTGATGAGGATGGGGGTCAGGGACTCAATTAAAAAGGCAGTCTGGTCACATTTTAATATGGCTGCTGTGCTGTCCTGGTGTATCATTTTCACACCAGTCAGTTTGGACTCTTGAAAGCTTACAGACTGGAATTGATAAGCCACTCAAACAGAGAAGATGCTGGCCCATACCTCTTTCTGGGAGCTCTGTCACAGGGAGTTTTCAAATTTCTGTGGGCCTGAGAACAGTGGTGGGAGTGGCTGGAGTCCCCTTTCAGGGAGTCCTACCCAGTGAGGAGGACCAGGATCTAGTACTTGCTTTAAGAAGCAGTCTGGCCATATTTCTGTAGGGCAGATGTGCAGCAGTTGGTGGATTCCTTCCACCACCAGTACATTTGAACTCTCCAAAGTTCAAAGGGCAGAACAGCTAAGTTGCCCAAACAGCAAAAATGGCAGCCTACCCTGCACACCATGCCTCAGTTGATAGTGATGTATGGTATATAATTTACATGTGAACAAAATATGCAAAAAATTATTTGATCCATGTTTTGTTATTTTATCTTCAGTTCTGTGTCAAACTGAATGCAGAAACATGAACCGCCCATGGCTAAGGTTCTGGAATCTCTTCTAAAATGTATTACGTAAGACTAGTGATGTGTCCATACAAGAACATTGATATTAGCTGAAAGATGGCACTTATAAACATAAAAGGGACATCAAACACACTTATGTAAACAGGCCATCAACCTTCATTTATCTCCTTGCCATCTACATGCTCAGACTGTTAATCTGATGATAATGTATTTACTTTGAAGTGTAAGTTACATTTTAACTTCTTGATTGATTTATCCACGAATATAACCACAGGAAACGACAGAAAGAAACAGCAAATTGAAAGAAAAGCATTGCATTGCACCAGAATGTCTGTGAAATGTACTTCAGTGTTTCTGCTCATACAGCTGAGCTGTTACATTAACTCTGGGAACTGCGGAAAAGTGCTGGTGTGGCCCACAGAATTCAGCCATTGGATGAATATGAGGACAATCCTGGATGAGCTTGTCAAGAGAGGTCATGAGGTGACTGTGCTGGCATCTTCAGCTTCCATTCTTTTTGATCCCAACAGACAATCTACTCTTAAACTTGAAGTTTATCCAACATCTTTAACTAAAACTGAGTTTGAGGATATCATTCTGCATCTGGTCAACAGATGGTTAGACCTTCCTAAAGACACATTTTGGTCATACTTTTCACAAATTCAAGAAATCATGTGGACATTTAGCGACACAGTTATAAAATTCTGCAAGGATGTAGTTTCAAATAAGAAACTTATGGAAAAACTACAGCAGTCAAAATTTGATGTTGTTTTTGCAGATGCTTTTATCCCCTGTGGTGAGCTGCTGGCTGAGCTACTCAACATACCCTTTGTGTACAGTCTCCGCTTCTCTCCTGGTTACACTATTGAAAAGCATAGTGGAGGATTTCCATTTCCTCCTTCCTATGCACCTGTTGTTATGTCAGAATTAAATGATCAAATGACTTTCATGGAGAGGGTAAAAAATATGATCTACGTGATTTATTTTCAATTTTGGTTCCAAATGTTTAATATGAAGAAATGGGACCAGTTTTACAGCGAAGTTCTAGGTAAGGAGTTTTTTCAGTGGGTATCATGGAGATCTAACTTTCTTGTGCCTTTGAAGTTGTTTCCTGTGCCATTAAAGCGGAGCTTATATAAAGCAGTAAAGTCAGGATAGTGGAGTTTTTTTGTTTTTTGTTTGTTTGTTTGTTTGTTGTTTGTTTTATTTTGTTTTGTAGTCTTGCTGTCTCCCAGGCTGTCAGGTTGAAATACTGGAGTGCAGTGGCAAAATCTCTGCTCACTGCTGGGATTACAGGTGTGTGTCACAAAGCTCAGCTAATTTTTTCTATTTGTATTAGAGACACGGTTTCACTATGTTGGCCAGGCTGGTCTCACACTCCTGAACTCAAGTGATCCACCTGCCTTGGCCTCCTGAAAAGTGCTTGGATTACAGGTGTGAGCCACCATGCGTGGCCATAGTGAAGTTTTTTGTAAGTGAATTTATGAAATGAAAACACAAGATGATCTATCAATCACACAAATACTATAGAATTGGTGACATTATGAGGTCATTTAAAACCCTGTGGCCATTGCTCATACAGAACAGTCTAGGAAGCCATGAACCGATATATTAGGGTACCTAATATTTCTTTAAACTATCACACATCTGTTTTACTATACATTTTTTTAATCTTAAAACAGTCAGACCTGTCAACAAACATCTTGCTGAAGGCATACATGTAGATTGAGCAGTCACACATTTTTCTACAACAATTATCTGTGCAACATTGCAGAAATTTTTTCTTGTATACCTCAGTTTCTGTATTCTGAAATTAAAATCTGCCCCCATGTTACCAGAAGATTTTCTTCATATTGGAGAGAAATAGTGTCTCTATCTCAAATGCAAACACTAATAAGGTAATTTGTAGTTTCTGATGTCTCTACATTCCTTCACTAAAAGATTGGAAATCATTCATTTTAAGGCCAATCATCTTGTTGAAGTCTGAACATTGTATATCTATATAGTTTTATTTTTGAAACTATATCTGGTCATTAAAAATATGAGCCAAATTAAGGTTGAATATAAATCTCTATTTCAGTAATTTCTCAACATTTTCTAGCTTCAATTTACTAATGTATTTACTTAAAAGCTAATATTATTAATATCTTAGGATGAGTCAAAAGCAGTAGTGGGCACAAGTATTTCAGCCATACTCTCAAAATAGCCCACAGTTCACTTGAATAACTAAAGATAAAAGAATTGGCTTCATGAATTGTGGAAACTAGACTATTTCTTAGAAAATTCTTTTGTAGGTACAGCAGAATTAGTTGATCATGGGGCTCAAAGAGTTGTTTAAATGTTTATGTGCTACTATTGAAGATTGAAAGGGTAAATAAATGAAAGTTTAATTCTCTAGGGATTATTTTAATAATTGTTTATGATTATGAGTATACTGATGTGGCATCAGCAAGTCATTTACCCTCAAAGTACTCTTATCACTTTGCCTTTCTTACAAGTACACATGGGCTAATTATGTAATACACAAAAATTAAATTATGCCTATATTTGAATATATATTTATGTATTTCAAAGCACAGACACTTTGCCTACATTGTTCTTATCCTTTTTAGAAAATTACCCAGTGTAATTATCTTGTGTCATCTACCTTTTCTTTATTCCTGTCAGGAAGACCCACTACCTTATCTGAGACAATGGGGAAAGCTGACATATGGCTTATTCGAAACTCCTGGAATTTTCAATTTCCTCATCCACTCTTACCAAATGTTGATTTTGTTGGAGGACTCCACTGCAAACCTGCCAAACCCCTACCTAAGGTAAAGAAAATTTTTGGGGAGTTTTGATTTGTTTGCTTTGAATTTTTCGCAGGAATGACTCTACAGTTTTCATTCAGAGTGACTGACTCACAGTGAAAGAAAGATGGAAGTGGGCAGGGTGAAGCGGATACCAATTAGAAACTCATGTACATGTTGATTTGTTGATAGCATCACAATTACACAAATTTAATCATTATTCTAGATAGAGAGGAAAATAAAGAAGACTTCGAAAATAGGGTTCATTAAATTAAAGCCTTGATTATACAACACATAAGAAGGTATTTGTCATTCATTAAGAGTATTTACAAAAAGCTTAGCACAACTGGCAACAGAAAAAAAAATAGACACAATTTCTGTCTCCACACACATTATATTCTACTTTGAAAGATAGAATATGTGCAATTAATAAAAATTGTGCAAAAGTTATTATCTTGAGGAAAAACCCAATGCCAAGAAAGCATCAGTGGTGATAATAGAAAGTATCCTGGAGTCACTGATAATTAAAATGAGAACTGAACAATGTGCAGAAATCAGTGAAAGAATGAGTGGGACAGGAAGACACAGAAAAAGAAGATAAAGTGTTTGGGACAGTTCTCAAGACTCCAAGTTGAGTTTGCAGGACAAGGCTGAGTGAGACTCAGATGATACTGAGAGGCAAGTTAGAGCCAGATATTTTTTAGAAGTTAAAATACTTATTAAATGCTGTTGGGAACTACTCAAAGAGTGAAGAAATGATGATATGTGAAAAGATTTTTTTTTTATAGAAAGAAAGAGCATACCAAGAGTTAAGAAATGATGATATGTGATAAGATCATCTTTTTTAAAAAAAGGAAGAAAACACAGACCATTCAGGAAATTTTACATGGAACCTGGTAGCAGATGATGGAACAGTGAACTAGAATGTTGATAGAAATAATTTTGCCTACATTTACAGTAGTAGTACCCACTTCATATTGTGTTGTATGGGAAAAAAGTTAATATAGACAAAACTCTTTAAATGTCTCTGTTATATAGTCAGTGATTCAGAAACATTATTAATTTTGCAATTATGGTTATTTTATTATCATTACTAATACACGAATTACTTAAAATGTACAAGTCACTTGAGATATCATTCTTCATTTACTAGAACCAGAGTGTTTGGCACATCAAGATTACATTCTCTTGCAAAGTCACAGATGGCAGATATCCTGCAAACTTAAATAAAGTAGACATACTAGTTTTGCCAGTAGGATGAGCAAGTTAAAATTCTACAGTAAGAGATAAGGATCTTAAGTATTGTAGCTTAAAATAAAATAATTATTTAACAATATAAATGTGTACCCCTAATAATATTTGCAGCCAAACTCAGTGTTCATCTGATTTTACTTAAGGATGCAACTCATTCTACACTGAGATCCTGGAGATTTACATCATAGAACAGAAACATACCCTATTAGAGCAGGTGTTTTCAGCCTTTTGACAGGCAACTCAGCAAAGCTTCCTGGCAGAACTTGTGTCTAGACACCATAGTTGCCTACAGAGAAGCAGGGAGAAAATGAACAATGAACGTATAATAAAGACCAAATAATTTCTACCACTTGTATCTGAATAATAGCAGTTTACAATAACAAAAGACTTCTGTCTGCATAGAAGATGATATTCCTTATAAAGGAACACAAGAACCTCATATATTTTAAATTGATATCATACTTTTAAGACATATATAGAAAGTAAGCATTCTTTAACATATTATTCAGTAATCTCTTAAGGTCTTTATCTACATAAAACTGAGAATTTATTCCGTGGTTAAAATCTAATATCTATGTTGCATGCAAATTGTATGTGCATATAGTAACTTTCTAAAGAGACAAAAGCTGAGATAAGACTAATAAAAATTCTATGCCACCCTGGCCTACTATTGAAAGATTTCCATATTCACATTAAGGAATAGTGACAGTGCCAGTAGGAGGGGAAAGAGAGTAGGAGGTATAGAAGGATAAAAAAAGGATGACTAGTAGACAGTAGTGATAAATACTAATGCTAGCTGTTGTTATTAACTTGCATAAAGATTTGAATGCAAGTCAATGGTTCTAAAATCAGTTCTCTAGTTATTATGTGAAATAATTGTTAAGCCAAGTCACTCTCTTTTAAATTAAATATTAGATTCTCAGATAACATATATATATATATATATTTTTTAAACAAAAAGACACTTGGCCAAAGGTATCAAGTGTTTTAAAAATGCACAGAGCCTTTGGTTTTATAATATGTTCACATGAAATCATACAGAGAAAAGTAAATCAAAGTGTACATAAATTTTATGGAAAATATTCATTAAACTGACATAGGAAGTAATTCAACATCTTAAATGAAGGAATGATTGAAAACTTAGACTATGTGCATACAATAGCATTACAATAATTTTATCAATCAAATATTCAATTACACTGTCAGTTGTAATGCAAGTAAAGTGAGGTAGCAACTTACAAATATGTCAAAGTGACAAGTTTTTTGTAGAAAAAAAGGTATATACAATGAAGTTAAAATTTTATAAATAAAAGTCACATGTACAGGTGTAAATAGAACAAAAGCCATGATGAGAACATATACATTTTAAATTGGTAATATTTGTAGATAGAAATTCTAGAAAATTTTTCTTTTACTTTTAAACTTTTCGTACTTTTATCAAATTACTTACATTTATTTTGTATTATTTTTATGAAATTGTCACAGAATGTTAAACAACCACTCCACATCAGTAGTGAATCAGTAAAAATGTCAGATTACTTCAACATTGGGTGGATAAAGAAGGCTCTGGGCACCAACCCAATGAGAGTAAACACTAAACATGAGTTACTTTAAATGTGGCAACAGCTAACTGCAATCAAAATACCTAGATGCCCTATGTATTACGTGGAATATAGTAGTACAACGATGTCTACTAATAGTATTAACACTGATGTCTGAAGATTAAAAATTATATTTTAAAAAATACACAGCAACATATGGTCTTCACAGTCAATATTTGATTTTTTTTCTTTGTTTTATAAACAACAGTTTAAAAAGTTCTATTAAATCTGAAAGTATATAAATTTAAATATTGGCACAGATTGGAGAAAGCAAATCAGAATAATTATCAATCAATTTTGGCCAAGCACATCTTCACCAGGAGTTTATGTAGTGTGAGTGAGCTACTCATGAGGGTGACCAGATTTCCCACATGGGAAGGCCTAGTGTCCTCTTGTATTATGGTACAAGTGCTGCCTCTGAGACACAGCAAAGTAATGATGAGAGTTCCTCATATGCAGTTATAAATAGCACATCAACTTAGTAGTGTGATTTCAGGGAAAAAGTTGTTCCACCAAAAAAAAAAACCTGAAAAATACAATCATACAACTATCTAACTATATAGTATACAATTCTGTGTTACAAATGAGACTCTCAGGACTAATTCAGAGAAATTTTAAACCAAAAACTGACTCCAGAATGTCAGTGATTCTTAACCACCACCTTTTATGATTACGTTTTCCTTGTGTGAAAAAAGACTGGAAAATTCTGACAAAATTTAAGTGAAGTTTAAAGGATTATAGAGTAAGATAAATGTAGACATAAAATCATCCCAACTGTAACTTTTCCTCAGTACTTAGAGTTAGGAAAGAAACCACTGATGGCTTCAAACTAAAAGAATCCTATAAAAAACCCACCTGAAATAAAGATATGTGATCTAGTAGAATGACAATATAAAGGTTCCAAGAACCTATATTAGTAACTATAAGTGAAGAATCTGTGTATAATATTTTTAGCATTATGCTCCTAATTACTTTGTAAATAGCTCAATTTCTTTTCTCCCTTAAACACACACACACACACACACACACACACACACACACAAATGCATATATATTTACACAAATACCCTTAGTTGAGGTCACCCATCTCATATTATCCATCTTCTTGATATGAAACTGAATGATTGAGTCAGTTAAAAGCTATAATTTACTCCAACAATTCCTGATAATACTTGATTTTCTCTCTTTAGCTATATGTACCAATTCTTTCAGTAGCACTTGCTGAGCTGATACTCTTTTGTAATGGAACAAATTCTTTTTTTCACAGGAAATGGAAGACTTTGTCCAGAGCTCTGGTGAAAATGGTGTTGTGGTGTTTTCTCTGGGGTCAATGGTCAGTAACATGACAGAAGAAAGGGCCAACATAATTGCATCAGCCCTTGCCAAGGTCCCACAAAAGGTTTGATAAATTGCCTTACTGGTATGGAAAACAACTGAAGAGGCTGTCAAAATCTGTAAATAATCCAATTACAGAAATTTCCTGCATAAACATCTAGCTGTTGGAATAGCACTAATTATCAGATATTAGTTCAAAATCAGGAATATACATGGAAGATGCTAAAATAACACAGAGGGTATTTTTATGGATAATCAATTTGGCATTAATATAGTGATCAGGAATAAATATATTTAAGAGGTATAGGGAAAGTTTGGTATTACCATGATATCAGGGTCAGGTAAGAGATATCACCAAATTCTTCCCCTGTCATTTGATCCTTATGTTTAAGGATTTCTGAGGGCATTGTACATACTACAGATGTTATCAGAAGAAATTAAATTTAAGGGGTAACTTCACTAGCACCATAATAATAGCAGGTATTTCAAAATGTGTAACATGCATCATGCAGTTTAGGCTTGCCATGTAATCCAGCCTTATATACATCCTGTACATTTTGGAATAGGCACAATTGTGTGATGTTCAGGGTACTATTCAGAGAAAGGATGGCCTAGGCTGTCATACAACTAGTCCACATTCCCACCCAACCAGGGAGATTTAGAGAAAGAGAAAAAGCAGCCTCCCTTGCTGGACTGAGCCCAGCCAATGTCTGAAGCAGGAAGATGAAAGAGAAAGGGTGGAGATGGATCCTGTCCTGAAGATGGATCCCGTGCTGTATAAAATGTGGTTCCCACAAGGACTCTGTACCATCAGGTTAACAACTTGTCCCAGTGGAAGCAGCAGAAGGAAATATAGGAAGGAGTCGAACAGGAGGAAGCCAGGCAGGGGAATAGGCTCAGATGCCCCTCTATAGAACATTGTAGGAACATAGTTTCTTCTGTATAGAATGCACCTGTGTGTATATGTCAATTACTTTTTAGTTCCTTATCTGATGTAGTCTTCTTGTAATGACGTATAGTGACATTTTTGCTGAAAACTCAGTTGCTTTAATACTGATAAAGCAAATAAAAGTCAAACACTCTAAGTTATTGTTCAGTTCATGAGGATTGCTTGGAAATTCTAAAATTAGTAACTTAAACATAAAAATGTCTTTGCTACAGAAGAACATATTAATCACTGTTGTCAAGGTTTGTGGCTCATTATCTAAGTGTTTACAATCAGTTGAACAAATTCAGCAAAATACAAGTTTGAATTTATTCAAAACTGTCTCTTTATTTATGATACCAACAGGTTCCTAATTTCAATGCTGAAAAAAACATTTAAAATTAGCAATACTGATAATACTCTGAATTTGTCTCAAAAATTGTCCCTTGAAATTTCTCCTGGAAGTAGTGCTCGATAATTCATAATTTCAAAGAAGTTATACATGCTACCTTTGTAACATTAACTCATTTCTTACAAGTAGTTTATTTTATCAACTTGCTTTTATGTCAATCAAAGGACACTAAACTCTAATATAATAACTTAAAGACAAGTAAAATGCATGAACTACTTCCCATATTACTAAAAAATGGATAGATTAATATTTGATTTGGAAGATAAAAACTAGTATAAAATACATCAAACAAACATAAAGGTCATTTCTGAATTGTTACTATCTTTCTCACTAGAATTGTAATGACTACTTAAATTTCTTTCATACATATAATTTCTTATAATTTTTGTGTATTAATTTTATCTCAACTTTCATTTTAAGTTTAGGGATACATGTGTAGGTTTGTTACACAGATAAACTTGTGTCATGGGGCTTGTTTTACAGGTTGTTTCATCACTCAGGCATTAAGTCCGGTACCCATTAGTTATTTTACCTCATCTTCTCTCTCCTCCCACCCTCCACCCTCCAGTACCTCCCAGTGTATGTTGTTCTCCCATGTTTCCATGTGTTCTTATCTTTTACCTTCCATTTAATCGTGAGAATATGTATTATTTGGATTTCTGTTTCTATGCTAGTTTGCTAAAGATAATAGTCTCCAGCTTCATCTATGTCCCTATAAATACAAAATCTTGTCCTTTTTTATAACTCCATAATATTCCATGATGTATACGTACCCCGTTTTCTTTATTTAGTCAATCATTGATGGACTTTAAGGTTGATTCCATGTCTTTACTAATGTAAATACTACTGCTATGAATATACATGCACATGTGCCTTTATAAGAGAATGATTCATCATCCTTTAGGTATATACTCAGTAAAGGCATTTCTGGGTGGAATTGTATTTCAGCCTCTCGGTTTTAGAGGAAGTGCCACAGTGACTTCCATAATGGTCTAACTAACTTACACTCCCACTAGCAGAGTATAAGCATTCCTTTTTCTACACAATCTTGACAGCATCTATTACTTTCTGAGTTTAATAATAGCCATTATGACTGGTATGAGATGGTATATATTGTGGTTTTTGTTTGCATTTCTCTAGTGAGCAATGATGTTAAGCTTTTTTTCATATGATGGTTGACCACATGTAGGTCTTCTTTTGAAAAGAGTAGCAATTTTTTAAATATGTGAACTTTTCATTGATAATCTCATTTTTCTAAGCTATTATCTTGGAAAATCCTGATTTTCTTATATACTTAACTAATTATAAAAGTTAAGAAAATGAAATGTAAGCATTCTATTTACATCGGTCTTTGAGTAGTCTTTATTACCTAACATCCTTTGACCTCATTCTTAATCTCTTTAGAATGCTAACATTCTATAACTTTGGAGTTTCACTCATGGAATAAGATGTTTTCTTTACTGTAACAGGTTCTGTGGAGATTTGATGGAAATAAACCTCATGCCTTAGGACACAATACTCGGGTGTACAAGTGGATACCCCAGAATGATCTTCTTGGTATGAATCTGGAGAACATGCTGAATATGTTAGTAACCGCCCATTAGAGTGTTAATAATTCATCATGGAATAAAATTATTTGTTATGAAAAAAGTTAAAAATACAATGAACTTCTTTATATTTATTCCAGTCCTATAGTAACAATAATAAGCAGTAATTGTCAGCATTTTATGACATATACTCACATTCTTTATGGTCAAAATCAGAGTATCTTTATTTCAGGTGTTATAATGTCTTACTGAATTTTTAAATAACTTCATGGGTTGTGTCTTTGTATCCTATTTCTACAACTTTACACCTGTTCTTTCCTTTTATGCAGGGTTATTTCAAATGTCACTAAAGTAACATCTCTTCTGCTATTACCATGGCCTCTGCATTTTCTGTAGAATTAAATTCCTAATCTGAATCATAAAATGATGACACATTTCATGGTGAAGTGTGACTTGTCCTTCCTCAATCCTGACATCACAAGCACCCAACTGCCTGCTGCCTTACAAATGTCATATCACATTCTGTGACTGCACTTAAGAGAACACATTCTCACATGCCCAACTCTTTCCTTTTATTTCTTTTTCTTTCTCTTTCCTTCTTTCTTTCTTTCTTTCTTTCTTTCCTTCTTTCTTTCTTTCTCTCTCTCTCTCTCTCTTTCTTTCTTCTTTTGGACATTTTATTTCTTTTATTTAGATTGCACTTTTTCTTTAGTCCAACTGGTAAGCTTGTATTAATTATTTCAGCCTGAAATTGCACACACCATATCACTCTCACTTACATCTCCATCAGAATTAAGTGCTCTTTCCTCTGAAGCTGAAACACAATTTTACTTTAGTTCAATATTTTAGCTAGAAAACACTGTCACTTCAAGAGCCTTTAGTTGTGTATTTCTCATTTTATTCTTATAAATAATTTTGCTAAAATTAATTCAATCACAGGTCATCCAAAAACTAGAGCTTTTATAACTCATGGTGGATCCAATGGCATCTACGAGGCAATCTACCATGGGATCCCTATGGTGGGCATTCCGTTATTTGCGGATCAACCTGATAACATTGCTCATATGAAGGCCAAGGGTGCAGCCATTAGATTGGACTTCAACACAATGTCGAGTACAGACTTGCTGAATGCACTGAAGACTGTAATTAATGATCCTTTGTGAGTATAATAATAATTTTTACTAGGTGGTATTTATAGACAGCTTGTCAATAACAAGTATGAATTTCATACTTTTTGCAAGAGACTAATTTTGAAAGAATTTAAATGATGTAGTCAATCTGAAATCTTCTGCTATTTTTGAGCGGTTATTAAAAAATTGTGTTTGAAACCCATACATTTGTGGGTATCCAATTAGTGAAACAATTTTCTACACAAAAATAATTGATAATATTAAAAAGACATTAAAAATAATGCAATTAATTCATAATAGGAAGAATAAACTTGAAAAAATGTCATAAAATATTTTAATTATCTAAAATGTCTAAAAGTATAACTATTTTCTTGATGAAAAATTCACTTTTGTTGTTATAGTTATTGTAACAGATTTGATAATTAGATATAATTTCCATAACATAAACTCCATCTATTTACAGTATAAAATCCCCTATATATTCAGAATGCTTACAGAGTCATAAAGCCATCTGGAATTATACAGTTTAGGGTTTTATGTAAATGACTTCTTTCACCTGGCATAATTTTTTATTTTTATAATGGTTTTTAGATTCATTCATGTTGTAAGTATATTAATACTTCAATTCTTTTTACAGCAGTGTGATATTTTATAGTATGGACATGCCATATTTTATTTGTTCACTTATCATTTTATTGGCCTTTTGATTGTTTCCAATTGTGGCTATTAGAAACATTGCTACACATGTTTTTGCATAAACATGTTTTCCTTTCTTTTGGGTTGATACTGTAAGTGAAATTCCTGGCTGATGTGGGAACTGTATTTTTATGAAGAACTGCTAAACTGTTTTCCAAATGACTTGTTCCATTTGTCATTACCACCAGAGTACAAGAAGGTTCCAATTCCTCCACACTGTTGCCAACACCTGTTATTGTCTTTTTGCTGTAGCCTTGTTAGTGGAGGTGAAATTGATCTCTCATTGTACTTTTGAATTGTATTTTCATTATGGTTAAAAATGTTGAGCATTGTTATATGTGCTTATTGGACATATATCTTCTTTGGAAAAATGTCTATTCCAATCCTTGGAACAATGTCTATTCCAATCCTTTTAAACTTTGCTCCTTGTCTTATTATTGAGTTTTAAGAACTGTTTATATATTATGGACATAATCTTATATCAGATATTTAATTTTCAAATATTTTGTTTCAATCTGGGTGTGCTAAGGTTTTACTTTTTTGATGATGGTTTTTAAAGCACACAAATTTTAATTTTCATAAGTTTAATTTTTAATAATCGATTTATTTTTATTTCAAAGGAAACAATGTAAAAAATGCCTAAAATTCCCAGTCCAGCTACCATCAATTCAGCATTTATAAGTACTATCAATAATGTTTTTTTAAGAAAGGTATTACCTAAAGGAATACTTTTAAAACAGGTTGGACCAATATAAAAGAAATATAAAATAAGGTGTTATATTTAAATGTGAATATGCAAATACTTCTACTAAATCAAAACATACCTTATAAAGAGGAGCATATAATTAGTAGGGATATAAAGCATTAGAAAAACAGAGTTAACAAATGGAATCTTATACTGGAACATAATACACCCTCACATATATATCTATGCATTAATTTACATACATATATATGTATAAACACACATATATGTATTATATATGTCAACCGGAAGACACATTTCCTTAGAGCATGTAGAACTGTTAGTAGTTATTTGAAGTGACATTTGGTGGGCTGTAAATCCAGACTCAGTAAATATAAAAAGATTCAATATAATAAAGTCTATATAATCCAGCCTGAGTGGAAGTAAAGGAGATTATAAAAATGATAACTAAAATAACTTCAATTTTGGAAATTAAAAAATACACTTCAAAAAAATTTAAAGTCCTGCCTCAGCCTCCAGAGTAGCTGGGATTACAGGCATGCATCACCACGCACAACTAATTTTGTATTTTTAGTAGAGACAGGGTTTCACCATGTTGGTTGGGCTGGTCTCAAACTCCTGACCTCAGGTGATCCACCTGCATTGGCCTCCCAAAGTGCTGGGATTATAGGTGTAAGCCATCACTTGAACCTGGAATACGGAGTTTGCAGTGAACCAGGATCATGCCATTGCACTCCAGCCTAGGCAACACGAGCAAAACCTCAAAAAAAAAATCTAAAAAATTAAAAATTAAAGTCAAGAAGCAAATCATGATTATGCATGCACTTTTATCTCAGCAATGCTGCTTTCAATTATATACCCAACAGATAAGTATAAATATGTAAACCTAGTGCTATATATGATGTGGACAGGAAACAGGAAAATACTGGGTAGAAGAGGTCAGTTCCCCAGCAAAGTTTCCACTTTCAAGCCTGAAAACTCATGGCCCTACATGAGAACACACATTCCTGTTTTTGAGCCCCGAAACTGCCTTTTGGTCCCACATCCACCAATTCTGTACCTGTATAAACCGCAATCCCCTGGCTCCACAAGGAGATGAACAGAAGAGCAGAAGAATGGCAGAATGGTGCATTAGAGAGAAGAGAAGGAGCTTCTGAATAGTGAGAGTAGTTCAGCTAGGGACAGTTGGAGGAGAGAGATTGGACGCTGGATGGCCAGACTCCAGGGGAAGATCATCTTCCCACTCTGTTACCATTTGAGCTCCCCATACATCTGACTGAGAGCTACCTCCACCACGAAATAAAAGCCATGCATTCTGTCATAAACATTTACATGTCATCCTTCAATTCCATGTGCGACCTGATTCTTCCTAAATGCCAGACAAGGACCTGAGTACTAACAGGGCACTGAACTGGTTAACACTTAAGCCATTAGAAGAGGGCAAGCCTAAAAGAGTACCCTGTAACACTAGCCACTTGGGCTTCAGGAGTTGCAGACACCCACCCCTGGATGCTGCCTTGAGGCAAGAGGCCAGGGGTACTCACCCAGGCTCCTGTACATCCCCCCCCCCGTAAGGTGTTTGTGTGTGCATGGGGAGTGAACAGATGAGCCACAAACCTGTTGGACATCTTGGGAAGGGGGCCATGAAACTCTTGCATTTCACATACAAAAATGTTTATGACAGAATTATTACTACTATCCAAAAATTGTTAGCAACCCAAATTTGTATTGGTCATAAAATGATGACATAATCCGTGTATTAGCAATCAACAAAATACTACACAGCAATGGAATTAATCAACAATTGCTAACTAAAAATTTTATAAAATGACTCTGATTAATGCATATTATAAAATTCAGTAATATAAACAAGCAAAACTAATGTATGATATTTGAAGTCAGGCTAATACTTAATTAGAGGACAAAGCTAGTGACTAAATAGTTCAGGAACAGAAAATTATTCTAGGCAGGATGTGATATCCTGTACCATGAACTGAGCAGTAGATAAATTGGTATTTTGTCTTCAAGATAATGTTGAAGATGATCTTACACTTTTTTTTTTTTTTTGAAATGGAGTTTCGCTCTTGTTACCCAGGCTGGAGTGCAATGGTGCGATTTCGGCTCACCGCAACCTCCACCTCCTGGGTTCAGGCAATTCTCCTGCCTCAGCCTCCTGAGTAGCTAGAATTACAGGCACGCGCCACCATGCCCGGCTAATTTTTTGTATTTTTAGTAGAGACGGGGTTTCACCATGTTGACCAGGATGGTCTCGATCTCTTGACCTCGTGATCCACCCACTTTGGCCTCCCAAAGTGCTGGGATTACAGGCTTGAGCCACCGCGCCCGGCTGATCTTACACTTTTGACCTACTCACTTAGTGTATGTATATTTATCTTCTGGTTTTAATATTTAAAGGTTTATTTTATAAGATATATGACATATTTTAAAATTCTAGGAATTAAAGTAATCATAAAACAGCAGAGAAAATCCTAGGGTTTCCATCTTAGTGTGGCCAAGAAAAGCCTCTGTTAGAGGTAACATTTCAAGGGAAGCCTCAAAATGAGAGAGAAGCATGTTGTTACAAGAAAGAATGCTTCAACAGTGGGAGAGAGGGGACAAAATGTGTAAAGGTGCTAAGATGAGAACACCTGTGGGAGCATAAAGAAAAACAGGAGGTCAATGTCTCTAGAAGACTTAATGTCCATGGAAAAAAGTGTTAGGAAAAGAGCTTGCCAGAGTTTGACATTGCAGGGTCCTGTAGACTAAATAACAGAGTTGGATTTTATTCTTATTTTATTTTATTTTTTCATTATACTTTACATCCTGGGGTACATGCGCAGATCATGCAGGATTGTTACATAGGTATACACATGCCATGCTGCATCCATCCCCCTGTCATCTACATTAGGTATTTCTCCTAATGTTATCCCTCCCCAATTCCCCAACCCGCTGCTATCCCTTCCCTAGCTCTCCCACCCCACAACAGACCCTGGTGTGTGATATTCCTCTCCCTGTGTCCGGTGTTCTCATTGTTCAACACCCACTTATGAGTGAGAACACGCAGTGTTTGGTTTTCTGTTCTTCTGTCAGCTTGCTGAGAATTATGGCTTTCATCCTCTTGTATGGCTGCATAGTATTCCATGGTATCTATGTGCCACATTATCTTTATCCAGTCTATTACTGATGGGCATTTGGGTTGGTTCCAAGTTTTGCTACTGTGAACAGCGCTGCAATGAACATACTTGTGCATGTGTCTTTAAAATAGAACAATTTATAATCCTTTGGATATATACCGAGTAATAGTATTGCTGGGTCAAATGAAATTTCTGTATCTAGGTCTTTGAGGAATCACCACACTGGTGTCCACAATGGTTGAACTAATTTGCACTCCCACCAACAGTGTAAAGGTGTTCCTATTTGTCCACCTCCTCCATAGCATCTGTTGTCTCCAGATATTTTAATGATCGCCATTCTAACTGGTGTGAGATGGTATCTCAATGTGGTTTTGATTTGCGTTTCTCTAATGACCAGTGATGGTGAGCATTTTTTCATGTTGGTTCGCTGCATAAATGCCTTATTTCAAAAGAAGGCGTTTATGTTCTGTTCATACCCTTTAACCACTTTTTGATGGGGTTTCATTCTTAATATGATGAGAAGTCAGGCAAAAATCTTACTCGGGGGAGTGTCAAAATCTGACTTTTATTTCAAAAATATCATTCTGGCTACTGGGTAGGAAACAGTAGGAGACACGGGGTAGGGTAAAAGCAGAGTGACTAGCTATGAGACATTTCACTCACCATGACCACAATTCCTTTTGAGAACTTAAAAATGATATTTCTCAAATTATATTTTCATTCTTTATTAAAGCACTTAAAATTGCTCATGATGTTGAGCATGTTCTCATATGCCTATTCCAGCACTAAAAGACTATAATTGGATTGTTCATAACACAAAGGAGAAATGCTTAAGGGAAGGATACCTTATCTCCACGATGTGATTATTTCACATTGCAGCCTGTATCAAAACATCTCATGCAATCCATAAATATATACACCTACTATGTGCCCCAAAATTAAAAGTTAACAAATTAAAAAAATAATAATAAAGTAACTCATATTTTCTTTGCTTGAGAGAAATTAGTTTTCTCACCTGACTTTCCATTTTTACTTTAAAAATACTTATCAATGATAAAATTCTGATTTAAAATTCCAGTTTCCATGATGACTCAAATTAAATTGCATAAATTCTGTGGCAGAGCTACTGCAAGCTGAGATAGTGCCACTGCACTCAAGCCTGGGCAACACAGTGAGACTGTGTCTCTAAACAAACAAACAAACAAACAAGCAAATAAATAAATAAATGTAAAACATAAAAACCTTTCATGGACTTCATATGCTCAGACAAACTAACCTACTTTCAATATTGGCGTCTCTATGTTTATCCTTCAGCTATAAAGAGAACACTATGAAATTATCAAGAATCCAACATGATCAACCAGTGAAGCCCCTGGATCGAGCAGTCTTCTGGATTGAGTTTGTCATGCGCCACAAAGGAGCCAAACACCTTCGGGTCGCAGCCCACGACCTCACCTGGTTCCAGTACCACTCTTTGGATGTGATTGGGTTCCTCCTGGCCTGCGTGGCAGCTGTGATATTTATCATCACAAAATGTTGTCTCTTTTGTTTCTGGAAATGTGCTAGAACTCAAAGGAAGGGAAAAAGAGATTAGTTGTATTTGAAGCTTGAAGCTGGGAAACCTGATAGATGGGACTACTTCAGTTTATTTCAACAAGAAAGGTCATGATGCAAGGTTTCTTTCTTTCTGTGACAGAACATCATTTCAAAACACGCTTACCTTGTCAAGTAAAAATTTGTTTTTCAGAGATTTAATACCGGTTTAATGGATATAAATATTTTTTGTCAAGAAGGAAAACACTAACAAAAATATAAAACTATATAAAGCTACATGATCTTATATAAAAATTTGGTGAGCTTATACTGAAATTTGTTGCTCCTGTTCACAGGTAACATGAAAAAATTTTCACTAAGCCTAACAACATTTCACATATTGTACATAAACACAAGAACGCAATAAGTTCACTGAGAGTGTCAGTACTGATTTGCAAATACTCAGAATACTCTGGCTTCATCTGAGCAGGATTTTGATATTTTAACTGTTGCTAAAGGAACTATTAAGCAATTGAATTGTATTAAAAAAAAACCTTTATATTCCTTTTGATATTTTGAGAAGAGTAGTGCTGCTTGGCTTTTATGGTGCATCCTGCTTCAGTGTCAGATTTTTCCTAAAATTTATGGCAGAATGTTTACCATTTTAGAGCTTAAGTCATTCCCCAATGGAACATAGGTGGAATGAGAAATACAACAACTCCTACCTGCTTTCTACAGTAAAATTGAACTAATTTACAAAGTTGTTGGTTCTATGAGTCAATTCAGGCTTTCCCAACTCAGGTTTTCCATATGATATCAACAAAATCAATACATGCCTGTCAAAAAACAAATTAAAAATGGAGAAATGAGTGGGTGGGTGGTGGAAAGAACACTGGGCTAAAAGTCAGGAGGGCTGAGATCCAGTTCCACTTTTCTGCTGAGCCAGTCTTTCACCATGAGCCTCACTTTACCCATGTTTTCTGGTCATTTAAAAATATTCATCTAGTTGATTTTATTCTCATTTTTAAAATTATTTCAATACTTTTTAGGGAACAGGTGGTATTTGATTAGATGGAAAAGTTCTTTAGTTGTGATTTCTGAAATTTTGGTACACTCATCACCTGAGCAGTGTACACAGCACCCAATGTATGGTCTGTTATCCCTCTCCCCACTCCAACCGTTCCCCGAGTCCTGAGAGTCCATTATATTATTCTTATGTCTTTGCATTTTCATAGCTTGGCTCGCACTTATAATTGAGAAGATTCAAGTTTTGGTTATGTAAGCCTGAATTACTTCACTTAGAATAATGGTGTCCAACTCCATCCAGGTTGCTATTAATGGCATTATTTTGTTCCTTATGATGACTGAATAGTATTCCATGGGGTGAGTGTGTGTGTGTGTGTGTGTGTGTGTGTGTATCACATTTTCTTTATCCATTGGTTGAAGGACATTTGGGTTTGTTCCATATTTTTACAATTGGGAATTGTGCTGCTTTAAAGATGTGTGTGTATAAGTCTTTGCATATAATGACTTCTTTTTCTCTGGGTAGATACCCAATAGTAGAATAACTGGGTCAAAATGTAGATTTACCGTTGGTTTTCTAAAGAATCGCCTAACTGTTTTCTACAATGGTTATAGTAGCTTATAGTCTCACTAAAAGCGCTCCCTTTTACCAAATCCATGCCAAGACTGCAATATTTTTTGGATTTTTAAATGATGTCCATTCTTATAGGTGGACAGTGATACTGAATTTTGGTTTTGATTTGGATTTCCATGATGATTACCTATGTTGAGCATTTTTTATATTCATTGGACATTTGTAATTTTCTTTTGAGAATTGTCCATTCATGATCTTAGCCTACTTTTTGATGGTATTATTTGTTTTTATCTTGTTGATTTGTTTGAACTCATTGCAGATTCCAGATTTTAATCCTATGTCAGATGCATAGATTGTGAATATTTTCTCCCACTTTGTGAGCTGTCTGTTTACTCAGCTGATGATTTCTTCTTCTGCACAGAAGCTTTCTCCACTCTATGTTTTTGTTTGCTTTGTCAAAGATCAGTTGGCTGTAAGTATTTGGCTTTATTTCTGGATTCTCTATTCTGTACCATTGGTCTACATGCCTGTTTTTATACCAGTGTCATCCTGTTTCAGTAGCTACAGGCTTGTAGTAGTTTGAAGTCAGGTAATCTGATACCTTCAGATTTATTAGTTTTGCTTAGTCCTGCTTTAGCTGTGCAGACTTCAAGCTGAGAATCAAATCAAGAATTCATCCTTTTTTACAACAGCTGAATCAAAAAGAAAAAAAAAAAGCATAAAATACTTAGGAATATACTCCACGAAGTAGGTGGAAGACCTCTACTAGGAAAACTACAAAATACTGCCAAAAAAAAAAAAAAGAGAGAACTAAAATAACATTAATAACTGAGTGCTTATGGCATGGAAAGAAAAAAAAGTCAACAAAAAAATTCTATATACTAAAAAATTATCTTTAAAAAGGTAAAATAAAGACTTTCCTAAACAAATAAAAAGTAAAACTTATTGCTAAGTAATCTGTCCGCCTTACAAAATTTCCATAGAAATTTTCCAGGCTAAGAGTAAATAAACACAGGAAAAAAATTAATCCACATTAAAAAAGGAGCACCTGAAAAAATAATTATGGAAATTAGCAAATTGTATAAATGCATATTTATTCAACTTCCTTCAACAAATTTAAGAAGTATGGAAAGCAGATATATAGTTACATTTTTGGGCATTTAACATATACATATGTAATACATTAGTCAATGATAGCACTAAAGGTGGTGTATAGATGCAAAACAATATCGGAGCAAGAAATAATACCAAATGATAGCTTGAATTTATAAGAACAAAAAATGATAAACAAAAACCTATGTAACCAATGATATAGGTATATATTTGCTCTTACTTTTTTTCACTTCTCAGAAAACATAACATTATATAACTTAGTAACAATGTTATTTTGGTTTGCAAATGTAATGTATACATTTAAGTGTAATAAATACAAAAGAAACAGCACATGGCAGAAGAGGAAATCAAGATTTTCATGAGATATCAATATTTTAAAATGATAACAAATTAAGTAACTAACAAATATATTAATAATAAACAATGTATTCTTGTAAGTCAAAGTTGAAATTAAAAAAAAAAACAACAACCTTTGGTAAAAGTTGAAGATTACAAAAACCACAAAAGATACAAAAAGTTGTGAAAAAGGAGTTATTAAAAGGGGAAAATTTACATCGGTAGAAAAAAAAATCCAAAGCTAGCAGAAAAAAAGCAAATATGAATTAGTGCCAAAATAACCACACTGAAGAATAAGGAATCCTGAAATGTAGCCAAACATAGAGTCAACTAATTTTTGACAGGAATGTTAAAGCTATACAGTTGAGAAAGAAGAATCTCTTTAACAAATCCCAGTGGGTAAACTAAGGGGCCTTATACAAATGAATAAAATTGAACTCCTGTCCTCAAACAATGTACAAAAATAAACCCAAAATAGATGAAACACTGAAATGTTAGATCTAGAAATATAAAACTCACAGCAGGAAGAATATGGGTATAACTTTATAACTTTGAATCTGGCAAGGTTTTAGCTATGACACCAGGAGCAGAAACAACTATTGTTGGAATAACAATAGCGGCCATTATCAGAAAAAGGTCTTACAAATTCTTAAATTTTACTTAAATCTTAGCAGACCTTGGTGTTACCATATGATGCACAATCCCTCTTCTGCGTATTTCTCCATAAGAATTAAAATCAGGATTTCAAAGAGATATTTGCACATCTGTATTCATAATAGCACTATTAAGAAAATTAAGCCCTCAAAACAATCCCGGCTTCATTAAGGAATGAACAGATAGACACTATGTGGTTTATGCTACAATGTGGATGAAACTTGATGTAGTTAGGCTAAATGAATAAATCATAAAAAGACAAACTGTAATTCCTCTATAGAAGGTATCTAAACTAGTCAAACTCATAAAAAATAGTAGAATGGTGACTATCACATGAAAAGGACATCATAAAATGAAAAGTTGTTTATAGCATAGAGTTTTAACTTTACAAGAAGAAATCGTTTTGGAGATTGGTTGCATAAGATTGTGTATTTAGCAGTACTATCTACTATGTGTACACTTAGAAGTGTTTAAGATGGAAAATTTCATATTATGTATGTTTTATAATAGCTTCTCCAATTCCAGCTAATATTTGATATTCCATCCTTTGTTGCTTGCAGCATTCTTTTCAATAGTGTTTGCTGTGTTAATGCTCTTTTTAATAGAGCAAATTCTTTCTTCATAGGAAATGGACATTTTCTCAGAGCTCTGGAGAAAATAGCATTGCAGTGTTTCATCTGGGATTGATGGCCAGAAACATCACAGAAGAAAAGGTCGATGTGATTGCAACAGCCCTTGCCCAGTTCCCACAAAAGTTTAAAGTGCCGTAATGGTGGAAAACTAAAAGAGTCTTACATTATGTAAAGAGTTAAAGGGTGAAAATTTCCTGCCTGAAAAGTTAACGTTTAGGATAATTTACCTCAGATGTCAGTTTAAAAACAACAGACATGACAGATGATAAAATAGCACAAAGAGTGTTATTGATTAATAATACTTTGGCATTATTTTCTCTGATTGTGATCAGGGAAAAATCCATAATAGGAGGTGCAGTGTGGCATTTTGGTATTATCATGATAGTGCAGGCAGGTAACAGATAGCACCAAATTCTGCTCTGCCATTTGGTTCTATTCCTTACAGGATTCCTGAGGACACTGAACACACTACAAATGTTATCAGAAATGCATTATATTTTATGGGTAACTTCAGTAGAACATAACAAAAACTAGGTATTGAAAAAAATCTAAAACGTATCATGGAGTTTAGGCTTCCCATGTAATCTGGGTCTCTTTCTTAATTTTGAAATAGGCATATTTTGTATGTTGCTTAGAGGGCTATTCAGAGAAAGGAAGCCCAAACTCACCCACCCTGAGTCTAGGTACCCACTTAGCCAGGTAAATTTAGAGAAAGAGAAAAACCAAACTGCCTTGGTGGACTAGGCTTTGCCACTGTCCAAAAGGAGGATGTAACAGAAAGAAGGGAGATCAAATATTGCCCTTAAAGTACATAGAATCTCACTTACTCCACAGCCGAGGCTGGAGTACAGTGGAGTGATCTTGACTCACTACAACCTACACCTCCTGGGTTCATGTGATTCTCCTGCCTCTGCCTCCTGAGTAGCTGGGATTACATGTGCGTGCCACCATGCATGGCTAATTTTTGTGTTTTTAGTAAAGATCGTGTTTTGCAATATTGGCCAGGCTGATCTCAAACTCATGACCTCATGTGATTCACTCTCAGCCTCCCACAGTGCTGAGATTATGGGCATGAGCCACCTATATAGTCCGGCCTATAACAGACCCTATGAATCACTACTGTCAATGCTTTAGAGTGTGCCATCAAAGCGTTAACAGCAGAACAAAATTTAGCATCATCACAATTTTTTTCAACAGCCCTATTATTTAT